TTCTAGTGATAAATGATTTTTAATACATGCCTGTCTGCAAGCTTGAGCATTTTCTCACTCCAAGATTTTGATTAAATTCATAAGAAGCAAAATAAAGAGATCTATAAAGAGGTCTAGCAGAAGCACATAATGTTCCTACAGAAATACTTTCATAGCGGTACTCAGTTTTCTATTGTGTTAATTGTCTTTTCTTTAATCCTTTCACCTGGATAGTCAGTCTTACAGACTCTAAAAGAATATTAAAAAGCCACTCAGTTTATTCATCTGCCAGTGGCAGAGTTCTTATGCAGTATATTTGAAGGATCCACTGAATATTTTAGCAAAAGTTTAAGAACATGATTTCCAAATCCCAGATTTGGGATTTTTGGCACCATTTAAAAATACATACGTTTTTATGATTTGAGCTATTTGTGGACTTTTTGATAAAGAAATGAATCATGAGTCCAAACATATTACTCTGATAATGAAAGTCCTTTCAGCTTAATGGGTAAAGCCACTGCTAAAAGGCCAGCAGTCATGTGGAACTACCCATTACAAAATAATTTACTAGGAAGTTATTTTGATTCAAATATCTTGCCATTCTTTCCTGTGGTTAACATGGTCCATTAAACGATTGCTGAATCTGTACAATGCTTTGGGAAAGAGCACAGTAGGATAACAAACTATTAGGAAATCCTATGGAGATTGTTAAAATTTCCAGACTTCCTAGTATGACTGTCAAATTCTCTGTGTTTGAAGAGAGACATTATCTACCCTACAGAATAGACAGCATCCTCTCTGTACATGCAAAAAGAAAGTGGACAGAAATCTCCCACAGAGTATTAGTTCCTACTGTTCCAAGGTAGGGGGTTTTGTGCTTGTTTCTGCAGCCTTCAAATGTATTTATGATGACAGCATTATTTTAACCCTGACAGTGATTAACATAATATTACTGATACTTTAGTTCCATCTGCAAAATAAATGCAGGTTCTCTCTGGATTTGTTTTGAACATTGTGAGAAAGCTCTGCCCACCCCTTTTTTAGCTTAGCTTTTCTTCATAATCAACATATTTTCTTCAGTTGGAGCAGTCTTATTCTCTGGAGAGATTGCTAAGAGTGTGTCAGGTCCTACTACAGCCTTACAGAGAGGAATGCTAGGAAATCACTTTGTTTTCTGTGATGTTCAAATTATGCCCTGTGCCTAACTCTGTGGTCACTGAAAATCTCAGGCTGATTTATCAGTGATCTTTTATGATGGTTCTTTCTAAATAGATGGCCATGTCTCCACGAAGCAGCCTGGCTCTTCCTCATGTTGCTGTCTGTAGCTGCTCTAATACTTCAAAGAAGGCAAACCTACTCTATAGATCACCATTAAGTCTGATCACCTAAGTTTAAGGCACTCAGAAGGTCCATTCTAACATTGTTTCATTTATTTACTTTTCTGTTTAAATGTGGAAGTTTGTAGTGACAGACGTGTTACTTCCCTGTTTAACCCCAGGGAAAATCATGATTGTGCCATGCAGGTCAGCAGTTCCCTGCCTTTTAAACAAAATATGCCAGAAATAAGAGCAGAATGAAAGGTGCCAAGAAAGGGCTGCTTCACCTGGAAGCTGCAGGAAAGAAGTAATCTCAAAATACAAGAAGAAATCCAACTTTCTGGCCCACTCATTGTACTATTTAAAGTCTGGGAAGAAAAACCATCAAAACCCCCAAAAGCAGAAAAATCCAAGACATCAACATCCCGGTATTAGTGCAGTATTTTGCAAAAGCATGAATGATAAAGAGATGTCAAAGTAAACTATATGCATAACTTCCTTGAACATAGCTTTGTGAATAATGGATGCCTCAAGTGCCCTGACAGTTGATATTACACTTAGAATTTGCAGGTAGCGTTTAAAAAGCTAGACTTCAGTTTATTTCAGTTCTCATCCTTTTTTCCAAGGCTTTTCTTCACACTTTTGACCACCTATGCTCATCAGAGAAACTTCTGAGTAAGTCAACTTGATGAGTTGAAAAAAACAAATGAGTGTTGCAGCCAAATACTTGCTCAGTGAATCCAAATATGATGTTCTGCAGCATTCTAATGTGGTTTGTGTAATTTTTATTTCTCATTTACAAATAACTTTACTGGACACCCACTTTCTTTAGCAGAAAAGTCAAAGAAATGAGGAAAAATGTGGTGTGGACAATAAATGTGCTGATAACACTTCCAGGCAAAAGATTTCTATGAGAGGATTTCTGCTAATATACAGTATTCCTGACAAATTTTCTTTCATCCTGTTCTAATTTTCTTCTTGAGGTAAACTAATTGAGACTGCATCCCTTTTACTCAGTCCTGAGTCTATTCTTCTCTTCTATATTGTCCGTTCTGTCGGGCAACTCAGTTTGTTGAAAAACCCAGTTTTTTACATATTGGAAAAGAATCCAATCACAGATGGAAAATTGAGTAGCAGGTAGCAGTTATTTTGTTTTGATCATGCCAATAAACAAGTCTCAGCAACTAGGATGCTGTTATATGTGAGGAAAGAGAAACTCCACAATTCCCTTAGCTCACATCTGAAAAAGTGAAAGATAGGAACAGTAGATTGCATACCTATATACCAGCTTCTATTATTGCACCATTCCAGGATAGTACTGCTCTTTATTTCCAGCTTCTTGTTGAAACCACAAGAATGGTAAATAAAATGAATAGGAAACTCTCAGATATAAAATTAAATCAATTTTCTAGCCTACATATGGATAAATGCCAATTTCCTCTTCTAGGTGCATATGCATACTCAAATATACAAATATCTCTGTGTGTCTGCATGTGTGTGTATATAGGCACATCTCCTCAAAGAATAATTTCCACAAATGTAAAGGTAATTTTAAAATGCACTCTGTTGATTTTCTGACAATCTGCATCTAGGTAAAGGAGCTATGGCCCTTAATCAGTCCATATTTCGGTATTTCATTCTTATTCACATAAATTTGGATTTTAAGCATAATCTGAACTATTGTTGAAGCACATGTGACTTGAGCACATGCTAAAAATTGCCCATAAGAGTAGATGCTTTGCTGAATAGGGAGGAACTTAATAAATAAATAAAATAAAAAAAAATAAATTAAAAAGACCCAAAATGAATTGTTATTAAAAAACAAACCAATGATCTTGAAAGATGGCATATTTTTTCTTGGTGTTTTGTGCTTAGTTGGTTTTATTACTTGCTTTGTTATATCAGTTTTGATTTATTTTGCTCTTTTGATGCTAAGAAAGTTCAGCGAACTGATTGTGTCCCAGAATCTTTAAATTAAGGAGACAGTTGCTGCTCAATGAGAAACCACACAGAAAACACCTTTTTTTCTTTTTTCTGAGCAGCCAAAAAGAGAATTGAAAAGGGATAGCCTAAATAACATGCAGTGTATACTGATTAAAAATATAATTTCAGGTGCTGAAGGAGAATACACATTTGTTTTTGTTTAGTTAAGTTTCAGTTATTGAAAAAGATATTGTCTAAGATTTTCAAAGTTCAAGAATTAATTGAGTCTCCTGATTGAAAAGAGTACGACAATATTTCTGTATCAAAAATGCTGATCCTCAAATTTTTAACAGAAATATATTTATTTTTGTAAGATGCTGTCAAAAAAGTGCAATTATTTTTTTTTCAAAAAAAAATCAGTTATAACCTTTAAGTCACATAAGGTTTGATGGGATATTAAATCATTCCAGTAATGTTTAAAGGAAATGTTTTATAATGCTTTTCCCAGAAATGTCAACATTTTGCCTTTATATGTTTATTTGGGAGAAAAAATTGTTAAATGTCAGAATCGTAACGTAAGGGAGATATCACTTTCTTAACATCCTTACAGTTAGAATCCAACCAGACATGCCTTAAAGAGGCTTGATCGCAGATAATGATTGTTCAAAGTCTGGCCTCTTAGTTGTAAAACTTGAAAATCCCTGTGTCTCTCCTGGAATGCTGTGGTCTCCATGATGAGAGCACTTCCAACAGGTCCCTCAGCTGGTCCTGCTGGTTGTTCTTCTTATCTTTAGGAGGTGCATAAGGAGATGGCTGATCCATGGGCATGTAGAAAAAAAAAAACAAACAGCTGGTAACTCAGAACCACACAGCTGTTCTCTCAGCACCTTTTGGTGGATCCTGTGTGCTTCCATAAGACTTGTGTCTAAGTGGTGTAGCAGATAACTGACTATTTCCCCTTGGATTACAGGGGCTTCATTCTGGTCCCCTCCCTGACCTTCCAGCTCAAAGGACTGGGTACCCCAAGAACAACTGTCTTACTATTAAAGACTGAGGTAAAAAAAGGCATTAAGTGCCTCAGCCTTTTTCTCATTCTTTGTCGCTATTCTTCCACCCACAAACAGCAAAGGATGAAGATTAATCTTAGCCCTCCTTTTGTTGTCAATGTATTTTTAGAAACATTTTTATTGTCTTTTACAGCAGTAGCCAGATTAAGTACTAGTTGGGCTTTGGTGCTTCTAGTTTTCTCCCTGCATAACCTCGCAGTGTCCCTGCAGTCTTTCTGAGTTTTCTGCCCCTTCTTCCAGAGATCATAAACTCTCCTGACTTTGAGCCAAGTATTCTCTGTTCAGCCAGACCTGTCTTCTTCCCCACTGGCTTGTTTTTCAGCATATGTGGACAGGTTGCTCCTGAACTTTTAGCATTTCCTTCTTGAAGAATGTCCAGCCATCCTGGACTCCTTTGCCCTTCAAGACTGCCTCCTTGCAGTAAGGCACTTTTTTATGGCCACTTTGACCCCTTTTGTCTGGCCCAGGGCTGCAGCCTTCCCCATCCGTCCTTGGGGACCAGCTCCCAGGGTCAGTTGGAAGCAGCACTACCCTAGCAGGACAGATCAAATGCAATTGGAGTCGCTTCTTGGCCCAAAACAGCTCTCCCTATGAAAAGGAAACACAGCTTTCTAGCTATTTCTTCTTTCTTCCACTTCCTGTTGTCAGGAGGTGGGTGCCACACTGTGATGTCATCTGCAACACGGGCATCATGGTGACGCTGGTGAAATTTTAAGGCAGCTGGAACCACAGCCCTTCATCCTGCTGACTGGCAGGACTGACTGGCAGGACTGAGCCTGATCAGGGAAAGAGCCCTGGCTTGAAATTGCAGCCAAGCTGTGAAAAAACAAGTCGCAATGGAAATGTCTTCGCTAGAAACATCCTTGTCTTCTGACTGGGAGGCTTCAGCTTGGTGGGAGGCTTCAGCTTTTAACAACCATCCAGGAGGTGATATGGGAGCACCTTCAGGTGCTGGCACAAGACCTCTCACAGGAGAAAATGACCTTCAAGTTTTGCCTGATAAATCCTGGATCCCCATCATGCAATCTTGTTTATCAGATCTCTGCTAAAACCAACCCTTCTTCAGCCCGCTCTTTCCTCATGAAGCTCTGGAAGACAGTTGGAAGCCATCATTTCAAATCAGTCTCGTGGGCTGATGATGGAAACTGCATTGTTATTGCAGAAAACCTCTTCAGAAAGGAAGTGCTGGGAAGGAGTGGACCTCGGAAGATTTTTTGAAACCAAGTCCATGAGAGGCTTCATTCTCCAACTTAATCTCCATGGCTTCTGCAAAATGGAGGGGGATTCTCTCATAACCACCTCCATTGAGGAGCTGCAAGAGTTAGCAGAAGCAGGGTCTGGCCTGGGCAAGCTATGTCTGTTTACACACTAAAGTACCCTTGGAAAATTGTGGGGAGAGAGTTTCACGTTCAGATAAAATAAGCCTTGAAAAGGGAAGAGATGGGGATGGGAGAAAATGTCTGATTTTGTCTCGTGTCATTTTCAAGAATTCTCAAAGCAGAATTTCAGAAGAGCAGAAATTATGCGTAAAGAGATTTTGGTTATTCCTGTTCCTTTAAATCTGTGAAATATAAAGATAGTCCCATCATATCATGCTGGTTTTGTGCTTGCACCAGCCATTTAAGTAATCTTGTGGCATCTGCTGGATGCTGACAAGAAACATGATATCATCAGCATTATTCCCAACATGTCCATTCCACACTAAGATGTCTGAAAATTAGTGGTGTTTGGGTTTCTCCATTGGGTTTTGGGCTTTTGAAAACCCTACACTTCTCTGCTCCTAAATGCTGAAAAGACAAGGGGCTATTACTTAACAAAATTCTACCTTAATCTTTACTTCAGCCAAAATTTGATGTTTAAAATGCCCCAGAAAGTCCTTTTTAATACCCCTGTTTGTCTTTTCTGATGCAGATGTTTATTTATCGGACCTCTGTCTTTCAATGATGGCAACTAACTCCTCTCCTTCTCATTTTGTAGCTGTTCTTCTACTACAACCCCTTTTTTAAGAGAGACTACCCCAACCTCTTAAAGATGTTTACAGAAAGTGCTGGCAAAAGAGAGAGAGCCCCCGTTGCATCTTCTCTGGGCCCCAGGATGAGGGGAAACTGCAAATGAAAACAACAACCTGGTGCTCAGTCAGTGGAAGGTGCCGCAGAGACGGAGAGCAGCACCCAGACATCTGCAGCTACCAGTTCCACACCAGGTGAGCCAGAGGCTGACGCCGACACCAGACAGACAATGCTGGCCCATCCCCACCAAAACGGCACTGCCCTGCATGTGTCCAGGAGGCTGCTCTTGCTCCTTCCACAGCTTCACCCTACTGTGACACACTTTCTCCCCAAACAGTTCTTTAACGCTAGCCATGGGATTCCCCACGTTTTCATCTGGGCAGCCCAATTTAGCTGCTATGCAGGTCCCCTGTGCTGGCTTGCCTCTGTTCTGTGCTCCACAGCTTCAACCTCAATGCTGGCTAGACTAGAAATGGCAGACATCATGGGTAGCAAGTAAGCACCATAGAGGTAGAAATACATAAATACAGGATTAGGTAGCAATACATTGTTGTTCTCAAAAATAGATCTTTTCAAGTTGCCTTGTCCTCCTGTCTCTACAGTACCACAGTAGCTGTCTCTACACCCAGGGCAGGGAGTTGCCTTTGGGGACAGAGAAGAGTTTGGCTCCAGCCGATGAAACTCAAAGGCTGCTGGCACCAGTACGTACACTTGTGAAACCCAGCCAAAAGCCAGCCTGGGGCTGTTCCTGGAGCTGCACCAGCATGCAGGGTCACTCAAATCAAACCAATCCCTCACAGCTCTCAAGAAGTCCATTTCCCTTCCACCACAGCTCCGGCCAGGGGCAAGGGGCAGCAGTCCTGCAAGGACAAGACTTGGCTTCTCCTGCCAATCCCACGTCATGTCTGGTGATAACTACAGCACTGCAGCTGCGAATGCAATAAATCTGTCGCACAGGAGTCAGAGCCTGGACTTTTTGGAGAAAGAACCTTTCCCATCAGCATAGAATCATAGAGCAGTTTGAGTTGAAAAGAATCTTTAAAGGTCATCTAGACTAACCCCCATTTCCATAAGCAGGGACATCTTCAACTAGATTGGGTTATGCTTAGACCAGTGCAACCTGACCTTGAATGTTTCCAGGGATGTCCAACTACCACCTCTCTGGGCAACCTGTGCCAGTTTCTTAACAGCTTCATCATAAAAAAATCTCTTCCTTGTATCTTGGCTGAATCGTTAAAACCATTATCCCTTGTTCTGTTCCTACAGGGCCTATTAAAAAGTCTATCTCTATCTTTCTTATGAGACCCTGTAAGTATTGAAAGGCTGCAATAAGGTCTTCCTGGAGCCTTCTGTTCTCCAGGCTGAACAACACCAACTCTCAGCTTTTTTTCTTAGGACAGTGCTCCAGTCATCCTTTTTGTGCCCTCCTCTGGACCTGCTCTAACACATCCATGTCTAGCATTTACCAAGGCTCTGCTGAGAAGAGGCTTTTACCGGAGCATTTAAACATGGCACAACATCATAATCCACTTTGTTTCCACAGATGGAATTTAAGTTTTTGGTGAGAGCAGACAGGTAACACCAGCTGTGAAGGATGCTTCTCTGCTATTTATACAAAAAGTGTATAGTGCTCATGACAAATTGCATCAGCAGTTCACCCTCCCTGAGCTTCAACACCTCTCTGTGGAGTGAGGGAAGCCTGGGAGGTCCATCCCACAGGGCAAACCCCCTGTCTGCCAGGGCTCAATGCAGCAATGTGCCAAGCCCCATCCTCCCACCACAAGCACAGAGCCTGCCTGCCTATGCCAGAGCCACCCTTGGGTGCTGGGACTGCACTGACACCCTCTGCTCTGGACTCGCAGAGGCATAGAGAGGCAGCAACCACCACCAGAATCCCCTTCTCACCTCTTCAGTTACAACCTCCTGCAAGAAAGGCTGTCCTTTAAAAGAGAACAGTCCATTTGAAGGGTCCTAAAACACCCATCTGGTCCAACTGCCTGAACACTTCAGGACCAAGAGCTGAAGCTCCCCTTGGCCTCTTCAACATGAACAGACATGGGGAATTGACCACCCCTCTGGGAAGCCTGTTCCAGGGTTTGACCAGCCTCCCAATAAAAAAATGTTTCCTAATGTCTATTCTGCACATGCCTGGGCACAGCTTTGAACCATATCCTATCATTATTTTACCTTTAGCATCTAATGATTCCAGTAGATGGACTTTTATAACACCATCTTTTTGCACTGAAGTATTAGAATTTTACTAATAGAACAGGACAGAATATATAAAATAGAAACTGTATTATTGGAAACTAGCAAATGTGAGTATCCTGAGCATCAGACTAGTAATTATGGATTTAATATTGTTTTGTTGATACAGCCAACAAGACAAACAGTTTAAAAACATTTCTTTGTGCTATTATTGCAGACACTTTTGTTGTTGTTGTTGTGTTTGGTTTTTGTTTGCTTTTGATTCTAAAAGATGGCAATTTTATGAGGAGAGCAAAGTCTATGTTACCGGAATTGTATTGAAGTGTCAAGTAAAAGTACAACTACTGTGGTTAAAGGAGTAGATCTAAATTCTGACTGCTCAGCAGGCTTTCTGCATTACTTCGTAATAGGCACCTTCAGCCTCTGCAAGTTGGCAAGTCAAAAACAAGTTTCTCCTTTCCAGAAGTGAATTTGTCAAAAATTCACTGGATAATTTGTAACTGTATGCCTACTCCTACTCAGTACCACTTGTGTGTGCATGATGTTTTTTAGGCATCAATTATGTACTGCTTATGGTCTGGGGAGACATGGGAACCTGAATGCTAGCATAGTTTCACTTTTTTCCCTGCAAAGCTTTTGTCGGAAGTGGGTTCTCTTAGTTCAGCTCTGTTACCCTTGGGAAATGCAAATGATGGCTGTTGCTTTCACTACCATACTATGTGTCACAGAAATCTGCTTTGACCTTGAAAAAAATGCTGAAACCTCAACTCCTTCAAACCAGGAGAAATGAGATCACCTAATGAGAGAGGAGAGGTAGCAAATATTTTGAATGTGAGCTCTGGAAAAACAGACCTCTTTATTAAGGACCTAGTGACTTCCCAGTGGTGTAACTTGAGTAACTCCAAGCAGTGTTAATTTAAGCTGTAAACACACACGCAGGAGAAAGATGATAGGCAATTTAAGTGAGGACACTGTCCTTCATGTCATTTTGCTGTTACAGTGTAAAAGCTTAGGCTGTTCAACCTGGTAAATTAGTTTTCTCAGAAACTTCATCTAAACTTTACCCATGACATGTCCAGAGGTATAACAGGAGGAAATACTTAATTTCCCCCAGCAGACAAGTAGCACTCCACAAGGGCAATTTGATTATTTACCTTGTGTGAAGTATACACTTATTATAGAATAAAACCTAAACGTGAAAATCCAATAGCGCTTAGTTTCCTAAAGGAAGAATAATATTGCTATCGCTGTTATAATTATTGTACTTTGAGGAACTTAGGCATGTTGCATCTAAGCATGGATTAATAACTTTCTTCCTCAGTCACAGGCATTAGCATAAAAAGAAAACCATAAAAACACTATTTGCCTGATCAAAAGTAAGGGAATAATCACCAGCAACATAAAAGCCGTAGTTTTAGCAAACATTTTGTTAACTCTGAGCAGCTTTTATTCCTGAAGCTGTGGATGTTGCAACATTAAAACAGTGTATGCCATAGCTAGTCTAAAACATGCCAACACCACTGACAACTCAAATGCAGGCAGTTTCATTTGCTGGCATTTGTGGTGTACAGGAAGGTGAACTTGTCAGCAAACATGCAGAAAAATCAGAGGGACTTAAGTTCAGTTTGGAAGAATATCAGTAGCAAACGGCAAAGAGGATTTTGGGATTGCTTATATCACCTTGTTTTGCTTTGTTTGTGACTGGTGCAGTACACCTAAGGACATTTGAAGTTTTGCTCCTGGCTCCAGTGGCTGCAGATGACACCGGCCACACTTTGTGGGTGAAGGGTGGAGAGGTGACACATGGGGTTTCACATGGAAGAACCTTCAAAGAGAATTCACAGGCAGCCCAAGCATTCTTCAGGTGTTCTGTGCCAGCTCTCATCAAGCACCGGGAGGCTGAGCTGCAAGGGAGGACAGAAAGCACAAATGCTTACCAAACTTGCTTTTGTGCTTTGACATTCTCAGGGGAAAAATGCAGAAAGGTTGGCCAGACCTATTGATCTGTTGCCAAAGTTTAACTTCATCTTTTCACTTCTTTTTTTTTTCCTTTTTTTTTTTCCTCACCCAGAAATCAAATAACTGGGAAAGAGCTAATAAAGAATATATCACAGCACACTCTCTTATCTCATCATAACTGCGATGCAGCTTGCATCTTTCATAGAATCATAGAATAGTTAGGGTTGGAAAGGACCTTAAGATCATCTAGTTCCAAACCCCCCTGCCATGGGCAGGGACACCTCACACTAAACCATGTCACCCAAGGTTCTGTCCAACCTGGCCTTGAACGCTGCCAGGGATGAAGCATTTACCACTTCTTTGGGCAACCTGTTCCAGCACCTCACCACCCTCACAGCAAATAACTTCTTCTTTATATTTAACCTGAACTTCCCCCGTCTAAGTTTGAACCCATTGCTTCTTTTGCTATTACTACAGTCCCTTTCATCCATCAATCAGAAACATCAGATGGACAGGGGAACAGGCTTATTTGTGAACATACTACCCAGTGCATATTGCCCAGCATTATCTGTCTATTTCTGTTTACAACTAAAAGTAGGACTAATAAACTACAAAGTCTTAACAGGTTTGTGTTTTATTTATTTTTCCATCTGCAGGCCTATGCCAGTGGCAACGAAAAGAAGAATTCTTGGTACTCACAGATGTGAATTCTCAAGAAAATACACAGAAGTGACAACAACAACAAAAAATAACTGGTTTTGGATTAATTAAAGCATTTGAATTTTTTTTGCTAAAAAATTTATGTTTCTTGCCTATTGCATGAAAAACGCTTTTGACAGATAAGAGGAAAAGCAACTACATTTAGCAGCAAAAGTAACCTGTAAGGTGTCATTCTAAAGCCAGCACTTTAAAGAAAAATATTTACACAGTTTTAAGAAACTGTGTCTTAAAAACCTCTTTGCCTCAACCGGAGGTATATTGTAAGAAAGGTCAAAGGTTTTATTTGTTTGTTTGTTTCTTTCTTTCTTTAGGGTATGTGTCTTTACTGTTAGGAGAGGTAAGAACGATCTGTCATTCTTACCCCACAGCATCAGATATTTATGGGTATAAACCTCTGAGACTTCTCTTTGCCATACGAAACGGTCCCTGAAAACTATAAAAAATACAAAATACTCTAAGTCTTTCTTTATACAACAGATGCTCTAGGCTGTTCATCATTTTTGTGTCCCTTCACCAAACTCCAGTAAGTCCATGTCTCTGTACTGGGAAGCCCAGGACTGGACTCAGCACTTCAGGTGCATCTCACTAGGGCTGAGTAGTAGAGAGGAAAGATCACTTTCCTTGATGTGCTGGCAATATTCTTCCTAATGGAACCCAAAAAGCTGTTGGACTTCATTGCTTTAAAGGCTCATGTTCAAACTGCTGAACTCACCAGCACCCACTTGGCACTGAAAAATTGAAAGTTGCTCCCCAGGATGTATGAGGGCTGTGGGTTATTTCTGAAGGTGCAGGGCTCTGCACTTCACTTTATTGAGCTTCTTGAAGTTCCTGTCAACCCATTTTCTCAGCCTGTCCAGGTTTTTCTGGATGGTTGCACATTTTTCTGGCCCATCAACCTTTCTCCCCAGTTTTGTATAATCTCTGAACTTGCTGAAGGTGCACTCTGTCCCATTGTCCAGGTCTTTAATGCACATGTTAAACAGTATTGTCCCTGCTAACAATCCCTGGGATATACCCTTAGTGACTGACTTCAAACAGGCACTTTGTGCCACAACCTTTTGAGCTAAGCAGTTTAGCACTTCACCTCACAGACCACATATCTAGCATGTCTATCTTCATATCTCTGTCGTCAGTTTGTCTGTCAGGTGCAAGGTCCTTCACTTGGGTTAGGGCAATCCCAAACACAAATACAGACTGAGTGAAGAATGGGGTAGATTTAGATTAGATATTAGGAAGAAGTCATTTACTATGAGGGTGAAAGGACACTGGAACAGGTTGCCCAGGGAAGCTGTGGCTGTCCCATCCCTGAAAGTGCTCATCGCCAGGTTGGACGGGGCTTTGAGCAACCTACTCTAGCAGGAGGTGTCCCTGCCCTTGCCAGAGGGGTTGGAACTAGATAATCTTTAAGGTCCCTTCCAATCCAAATCATTCTATAATACTGTGATTCTATGATGTTACGAAAGACAGCATCAAAAGCCTTACCAAAGACAAGTGACATCCATTATGCTTCCTTAAAATAACAGGCCAGTCACTTCATTGTAAGAGGCTATCAGGTTGGTTAAGCATTATTTTTAACTCTTAATCCATGCTGACTATTCCAAATCACCTTCTTCTCCCTCCTATGTCTGTGGAAAAGATTTCTACCTTTTCATCAGCTGCCCAGGGACCGAGATGAAGATGACTGGCCTGTAGATCCCCCCATCTTTCCCTTTTGCTCCTCTTAAAGATAGAAGTGATTCTTGCTTTCTCCCAAATTTCAGAAACATTTCCCAGTCACCATGACCTTTCAAAGTTAATCAAGAGCGGTCTCATAATTCCATCAGCCAGCTGCCTCAGCACTTTTCTGTGCAGCCCATCAGACTCCATGGTCTTATGTACACCTAGTTAGTTTAAGGACTTCCTAACCTGGAAGCCTACTAATGGCATGTCTTCCTTGCTGTAGACTTTCTCAATGGTCTCAGGACCTGGGATTACCGAAGACTGATATTAACAATAAAGACTTGGGTGAAGAAGCACCTTGTCTTTTTCTGTGTCCTTTCTCACCATGATTCCTGCCCCATTCAGCAGTGGGGCAACGTTTTCCTTAGTTATCCTTCTACTGTTCATGTATTTGTAGAAACCATCCTTGTTTTCTTTGACATCCCTTGCCAGATTCAACTCCAAGAAGGCATTGTTTTTTCTAGCCGCATTCCTGCACAGTCATGTCTCTCTACTCCTCCTGGATTGCGTGCTCTGCTACCCTATCTTGTACACTTTGTTTTTGTGTGTGAGCTAGTCAGGAACAATTCAGGCTTTGCCATACTTGCTTTATTTTCAACTCACTGAGACAGATCAGTCCTGAGCTTGGAGGAGGTGTTTCTTGAGCATCAACCAGCAATCCTAGATCCCTCATCTTCCAATGGCATGTCTCATGAGTAATGGTTAGGCATCACCAGACCAAAATGTAAGACTTAACTACAAGTAACAGTTTTTTGATTATGAGAAGTTTCCAGGAGCACCAGCCACTTTTACTAGATATTTTCATTAGTGATGGACTTTCAAGGCACCCATTCTCCCTAACTTGTTGATGCTGCAGCAGGAAAAACCAAGGGCAATCGTTGAGTTCAGGTACTAATTTGCATTCATAGTTTTGTAAATCTGTTGTAAGATTACTGCTGAGATGGAAATGTGAAAGGAGAATCCACTTAGTCTTCTCATTGCTGTGCTCCAAATACAACACATGTGAACTGTTAGATGGATTATATTTGTTGAAGCTGGAATTATGCTCTGTAATTGCATACCCCAATACACATTCATATGGGCTGCCTTGCAATTAAACTTTCCAAATTCAGTATTCAAATGGTAGTTTTGTTAAAATATATTAAATGTACTCCTTTTTTTTTTTTTTTTTGGACTGTACTTCTAAAATGTCATATAAGTTCACTCATCTGGAAAGCTTTCAGTTAATAAACAGACTCTGCAACCTACAATAACGGATCCTCTGTGCTGTAAAACATTCAAATGAAAAGTATTATCCTTACAGTCTTGATAAGGTCATATCTGTCAGGATAAATTGTTACTTTGTGCCAGTGTCCAAAGATTTCAATTTACTTTCAGGTACAAAACAAGAGTAGCCCTACAAAAATATACATAAATGTAATTCAAGTCTAAAAAATATAAATTGTCCTTTTGCTACAAAGGATGACACATAGTTTGAAGACGCATTAAGAAAATATGAACTAAAAACCAGTAGTCTTTTTTTTATTATTACATTTTTTTATTTTACCTGGCATGTAATGTTTGCCAGACTCAAGAGAATTGGTTGGTTGTTTTTTTTTTCAGTGACGGGCTTTCAGAAGTGATATCTAATATAGACAATTTATGAAGAACTTCTTTTTTTAATCAGCCTCAAGGTATCATGTCATTGATGACAATAGCAAGCACAGACAAAATTTTAATTTGGGTTTTTTTGGGGGTATGCCAGTAACCACAAAATACAGCAATGAAAGTGTCTTTCTGAACTCTAAATGCTATCCTGAAGACACTGTATTTTTGAATTTTCTTTTCAAGGACTTAAAAGTTCTGTAAAAAAACATCACCTGGAGAGATGCTCTATTGAGCAAAGGTGAGGGATTTGGATGTTCCCTTTCAAAGACAATAATAAAAGTGAGATATGGAAATTCCTCCCAACAATTGTAGTTTTCCAGCTCAGGTTCTCACATAGAGCTGTTAGGTCAGGCAATGCAGTAAGAGAACCAGACAAAAACACAAATTTATGGACTCTAATAAATTGCATGGATCAATACGTGGACTAAATACCACTGGGGTTAATTTATCTCCTATCCTAGCAACCACTGGATGTATTAATAACATTGTTTTTTTTTTCCTCCATTGAGCTAGTAGCTAGTTGATAGTGAAATTATATAGACTTAGGAGAACTAAGTGTGACATTTTAAATTCAGACCACAAATCCATTACTACCTGTGCCATATCTTGAACAGATCTTGTGAAATTAGTGTCTTATTGCTAGTTTTCTGGGATAACCTGAAAATTCAGTTGTGGTTTTACCATTTATTAATCATGCAAGTTACTGTAAATCACTTCAGTGAAATCATTAAATTCTCTGTTACACTGGGCTCTGGAAGATGTTTTGCCTGTGTAGTGTAGTAGCAATGAGCCTGTCACCATCAGTGGACATGATACTGTAAAGAGTGAAAATGTATTATATTTGTAAAGTTTCTGGTGCATTAGTGTTTAAATAAACATGCTAATGCATGCAGCTGACATGAAATCCAGAGGAAAGGCAAACTGAAGGTTGGGATTTTTTTCAATCAGAACACATTTCAGACAGCTCCACTTCACCTCTGCAGTTCATGAGCGTTGGCTCTGAGAGCGCCCCAGCAGCATGAGTTGAACCCAAGGAGGCACAAGGAAAGGAACATTTTTTGGCATGGAGACAGTCCTCTCCCGGCTGTGCCTTTAACAATAAGACTACTGTTAGCTTCATCCTCTCTCAGAATTATCTCCCCATATATTTATCTGTGTAAATATCGTAGATTAAAAGAAACACAGTCATAACACATGCGTGTTTTATACATTTTGCTTTAAAGTTGAAAACTGATGAATTTCTGCCTAGCCTTACCAGACCTGTTTGCTTCTTTTATCTGTTTGCTTCTGAAGGCAAGCAGAAATCCCTGTATTGTTGTTGCTCAATGTCCTAGTTTTATGTTCTGTCTTCTACTTTCCTAGCCTTTTTTCCAGGTATCGAAAAGGTGTTTCTAACATAAGATAGTATTACCTGAGCTGTCAAAACCAGGCAAGCACCACTGTATGTGTAATTGAACACTGCCTCTGTGTTTGTAATGCATGCACTTGTAGCAATATCTGTGTTTGCAAATTCAAAATGTTAAACAGCTGTATTTCTAGTACCTTCAGATCAACATAGAATCTTTTGTTACCCTGTGGATAGTTTCCATCTAGCGTGTTAGAGAAAGCATGGCTACTTCTGACATGGAAGTTCCATCTCTGAGGCAGTCAAAAACACCTTATTCTTTTCCTTAGAAATTCCCAGAGGTACATT